GTGTCTTCCCCCACGTCCTGTGTTGTCTGTCCTGTGTCTTCCGCCCACGTCCTGTGTTGTCTGTCCTGTGTCTTCCGCCCACGTCCTGTGTTGTCTGTCCCGTGTCTTCCACCCACATCCTGTGTTGTCTGTCCTGTGTCTTCCGCCATGTCCTGTGTTGTCTGTCCTGTGTCTTCTGCCCACGTCCTGTGTTGTCTGTCCTGTGTTGTCTGTCCCGTGTCTTCCACCCACGTCTTGTGTTGTCTGTCCTGTGTCTTCCGCCCACGTCTTGTGTTGTCTGTCCCGTGTCTTCCACCCACGTCTTGTGTTGTCTGTCCCGTGTCTTCTGCCTATGTTCTGTGTTGTCTGTCCCGTGTCTCCCACCCACTTTCTGTGTTGTCTGTCCTGTGTCTTCCTCCCACGTCCTGTGTTGTCTGTCCCGTGTCTTCCTCCCATGTCCTGTGTTGTCTGTCCCGTGTCTTCCGTACACGTCCTGTGTTGTCTGTCTCGTGTCTTCCGCCCACGTCTTGTGTTGTCTGTCCCGTGTCTCCCACCCACATCCTGTGTTGTCTGTCCTGTGTCTTCCGCCCACGTCTTGTGTTGTCTGACCTGTGTCTTCCACCCACGTCTTGTGTTGTCTGTCCCGTGTCTTCTGCCTATGTTCTGTGTTGTCTGTCCCGTGTCTTCCACCCACGTTCTATGTTGTCTGTCCCGTGTCTTCCTCCCACGTCCTGTGCTGTCTGTCCCGTGTCTTCCTCCCATGTCCTGTGTTGTCTGTCCTGTGTTGTCTGTCCCGTGTCTTCCGCCCACGTCCTGTGTTGTCTGTCCCGTGTCTTCCGCCCACGTCTTGTGTTGTCTGTCCCGTGTCTTCCGCCCACATCCTGTGTTGTCTGTCCCGTGTCTTCCGCCCACGTCTTGTGTTGTCTGTCCCGTGTCTTTTGCCCACGTCTTGTGTTGTCTGTCTCGTGTCTTCTGCCCACGTCTTGTGTTGTCTGTCCCATGTCTTCCGCCATCATTCTGTGTTGTCTGTCCTGTGTCTTCCGCCCATGTCCTGTGTTCTGTCCCATGTCTTCCGCCCACGTCCTGTTTTGTCTGTCCCGTGTTTCCGCCCATGTCCTGTGTTCTGTCCCGTGTCTTCCGCCCACGTTCTGTGTTGTCTGTCCCATGTCTTCCACCCACATCCTGTGTTGTCTGTCCCGTGTCTTCCGCCCACATTCTGTGTGTTGTCTGTCCCGTGTCTTCCGCCAACGTCCTGTGCTGTCTGTCTCATGTCTTCCACCCACGTCCTGTGTTGTCTGTCCTATGTCTTCCGCCCATGTCCTGTGTTCTGTCCCATGTCTTCCGCCCACGTCCTGTGTTGTCTGTCCCGTGTTGTCCGCCCACGTCCTGTGTCTTCCGCCCACGTCCTGTGTTGTCTGTCCTGTTTCTTCCGCCCACGTCCTGTGTTGTCTGTCCCATGTCTTCCACCCACATCCTGTGTTGTCTGTCCGTGTCTTCCGCCCACGTTCTGTGTTGTCTGTCCCGTGTCTTCCCCCACGTCCTGTGTTGTCTGTCCTGTGTTGTCTGTCCTGTGTCTTCCGTGCACGTCCTGTGTTGTCTGTCCCATGTTTTCCCCCACGTCCTGTGTTGTCTGTCCTGTGTCTTCCGCCCACGTCCTGTGTTGTCTGTCCTGTGTCTTCCGCCCACGTCCTGTGTTGTCTGTCCCGTGTCTTCCACCCACATCCTGTGTTGTCTGTCCTGTGTCTTCCGCCATGTCCTGTGTTGTCTGTCCTGTGTCTTCTGCCCACGTCCTGTGTTGTCTGTCCTGTGTTGTCTGTCCCGTGTCTTCCACCCACGTCTTGTGTTGTCTGTCCCGTGTCTTCCGCCCACGTCTTGTGTTGTCTGACCCGTGTCTTCCACCCACGTCTTGTGTTGTCTGTCCCGTGTCTTCTGCCTATGTTCTGTGTTGTCTGTCCCGTGTCTCCCACCCACTTTCTGTGTTGTCTGTCCCGTGTCTTCCTCCCACGTCCTGTGTTGTCTGTCCCGTGTCTTCCTCCCATGTCATGTGTTGTCTGTCCCGTGTCTTCCGTCCACGTCCTGTGTTGTCTGTAACGTGTCTTCCGCCCACGTCTTGTGTTGTCTGTCCCGTGTCTCCCACCCACATTCTGTGTTGTCTGTCCCGTGTCTTCTGCCCACGTCCTGTGTTGTCTGTCCCGTGTCTTCCGCCCACGTCTTGTGTTGTCTGTCCCGTGTCTTCCGCCCACGTCTTGTGTTGTCTGTCCCGTGTCTTTCGCCCACGTCTTGTGTTGTCTGTCTCGTGTCTTCCGCCCACGTCTTGTGTTGTCTGTCCCATGTCTTCCGCCATCGTTCTGTGTTGTCTGTCCTGTGTCTTCCGCCCATGTCCTGTGTTGTCTGTCCCGTGTCTCCGCCCACGTCCTGTGTTGTCTGTTCCCTGTTTTCCGCCCATGTCCTGTGTTTCTGTCCCGTGTCTTCTGCCCACGTTCTGTGTTGTCTGTCCCATGTCTTCCACCCACATCCTGTGTTGTCTGTCCCGTGTCTTCCGCCAACGTCCTGTGTTGTCTGTCTCATGTCTTCCACCCACGTCCTGTGTTGTCTGTCCCGTGTTGTCCGCCCCATGTCCTGTGTCTTCCGCCCACGTCCTGTGTTGTCTGTCCTGTGTCTTCCGCCCACGTCCTGTGTTGTCTGTCCCATGTCTTCACCCACGTCCTGTGTTGTCTGTCCGTGTCTTCCACCCATGTTCTGTGTTGTCTGTCCCGTGTCTTCCCCCACGTCCTGTGTTGTCTGTCCTGTGTCTTCCGCCCACATCCTGTGTTGTCTGTCCCGTGTCTTCCCCCTACGTCCTGTGTTGTCTGTTCTGTGTCTTCCGCCCACGTCCTGTGTTGTCTGTCCTGTGTCTTCCACCCACATCCTGTGTTGTTGTCTGTCCCGTGTCTTCCACCCACATCCTGTGTTGTCTGTCCTGTGTCTTCCGCCCATGTCCTGTGTTGTCTGTCCTGTGTCTTCCGCCCACATCCTGTGTTGTCTGTCCTGTATTGTCTGTCCTATGTCTTCCACCCACGTCTTGTGTTGTCTGTCCCGTGTCTTCTGCCTATGTTCTGTGTTGTCTGTCCCGTGTCTTCCGCCCACGTCCTGTGTTGTCTGTCCCATGTCTTCCGCCCACGTTCTGTGTTGTCTGTCCGTGTTTTCCGCCCACGTCCTGTGTTGTCTGTCCCGTGTCTTCCGCCCACGTCCTGTGTTGTCTGTCCCGTGTCTTCCGCCCACGTCCTGTGTTGTCTGTCCCGTGTCTTCCGCCCACGTCCTGTGTTGTCTGTCCCGTGTCTTCCCCTACGTCCTGTGTTGTCTGTTCTGTGTCTTCCGCCCACGTCCTGTGTTGTCTGTCCTGTGTCTTCCACCCACATCCTGTGTTGTCTGTCCCGTGTCTTCCACCCACATCCTGTGTTGTCTGTCCTGTGTCTTCCGCCCATGTCCTGTGTTGTCTGTCCTGTGTCTTCCGCCCACATCCTGTGTTGTCTGTCCTGTATTGTCTGTCCCATGTCTTCCACCCACGTCTTGTGTTGTCTGTCCCGTGTCTTCTGCCTATGTTCTGTGTTGTCTGTCCCGTGTCTTCCGCCCACGTCCTGTGTTGTCTGTCCCATGTCTTCCGCCCACGTTCTGTGTTGTCTGTCCGTGTTTTCCGCCCACGTCCTGTGTTGTCTGTCCCGTGTCTTCCGCCCACGTCCTGTGTTTTCTGTCCCATGTCTTCCGCCCACGTCCTGTGTTGTCTGTCCCGTGTCTTCCGCCCACGTCCTGTGTTGTCTGTCCCGTGTCTTCCGCCCACGTCCTGTGTTGTCTGTCCCGTGTCTTCCGCCCACGTCCTGTGTTGTCTGTCCCATGGCCTCTGCACCCTCCCTTTGTTGTGTCTTTCCAGACATTTGATCACCATACTGTGGAAATTAGAAGAAATGATGGGATTCAGCAGTAAACAACAGATTACTGGGCAGAGCTGACACCATTCCCTGCAATTCTAGTCCACAAGAAGGTATTAGTGTTGTGTCTCAAAAAGAAATTGGGTCCAATTTTGTTTTTTGCAGACCAGCATGTATTTTTTGTATTTCAGAAATATATATTGTTCATTACTGACAGGGTATGCCAATACCCCACACTGCAGTACACCACTGTTTATGAGTTACTAGTCACGACCAGTAGATGTCAGTATAAAGCCCTTTCTAGGTTGTCCGGCCAGCCAATCAAAACGCACGTGGCAGCTCTCCCCGCCCACGCACCCAGCCCCGTACCTACTGAAGCTCCGCCCATAGCTCGTGACCGGAAGTGAGTGAAGTGTGCCGTTATCTCGGCTTTATGTGGTGTTTAGCGGCTTCCTTGTGAGAGGAGATCCTGCGGAGGTGAGGTGGTCCGGACTTGTGTGGCTGGGGTGGAAGGTGCGGGCATTTTCTCTCCTGTGACATGGCTGGTGTGGAGGGCAGGCTGGTCCTAGAGTTCTTGGATCACAGGGTACTTGCTGGGCGTCATCTTAGTTTATATAATATAGTGTGTGTACTAATTTGGTATTTATTTACAGAGGTTGTCGCAGCATGTTGGATTGTTCCATATACAGGCATTGACCCCAATGGGTGTGTAAATATGCCCTGTGTATTGGGCGCCCCCTAGTGGGCGTTGTGCAGGGGTGATGCACTTTGTATATTGGGTGCACCTTGGTGGGTTTAGTGAAAGAGCCATGCAATGTTCTACAAATCACTGGTTACCTTTTTTTTTTCCCCATTGAAATGTTAACTACTTCAGCCCTCGGCCAATTCTGTCACTTCTCTCTGACTACATGTAAAAATGTTTTGCTAGAAAATGACTTGGAACCCCACACACACACATACATATATATATATATATATATATATATATATATATATATATATATATACACACACACACACACTATTGCCAAAGTATTGGGTCTCCCCTCCAAATCATTGGATTCAGGTGTTCCAATCACCTCCATGACCACAGGTGTATAAAATCATCACCTAGGCATGCAGACTGCTTCTACAAACATTTGTGAAAGAATGGGTCACTCTCAGGAGCTCAGTGAATTCAAGCGTGGTGCCGTGATAGGTTGTCACCTGTGCAATAAGTCCATCCGTGACATTTCCTTGCTACTGAATATTCCACGGTCAACTGTTGGATGTATAACAAAGTGGAAGCAACTGGGAACAACAGCAACTCAGCCACGAAGTGGTAGGCCACGTAAAATGACAGAGCGGGGTCAGCGCATGCTGAAGTACACAGAAGTCGCCAACCTTTCTGCAGAGTCAATAGCTAAAGACCTCCACTTCGTGTGGCCTTCAGATTAGCACAAGAACAGTGCCCCTTCCGCGGCTTTAACAGGCCGTTCTGTCCCACTGGAGACAAAGTATGATACATTAAATTATCCATAGGCAAAGCTTTAAAAGCTTTTACACATTACCTGCTTAGTTACACAGGAGGTCTGGTGCTAGAATTATTGCTTTCGCTATAACATTCATGGCAATACACCCCACAGGTGGTGTTAACAACATCCCTTGTGAAAGCTGGAGCAGTGACCGGTCATCTTTATGGAGAGATTTGAGGTCTGTTAGACCCCAGATCTCTCCTCCGTCCTTCAAAGCATCTGAACACACCCAGGTCGATTTGATCTGATTAGTGGTGCACCAAAATGAAAATTCTGGACTGAAGCCAAAAATTTTGGATGCACTTGGCCAAAAACCGAAATGGACAGTTTAAAAAAAAAAAAAAAACATATATATTTGTATTCAACTTTTTAATTAATATCATGAATTTAAATTATTATGAATTTAAAAAAATACAATCCAGTAACCTAAAATTTTTTATTCAAAGTAACACACATAAATTGGACAGAAAATAAAATGAAGTGTGTATATAAAATTAAAAAACATAAATAGAGGCATTTTTGGATTGAAATCAATGGGATGGGATTTTTGCATTGAAGTCAGTTAACATTATCGACACTTTTTTTTTTTTTTTTTTCCTATCGACAAAACACTGATAAACCTTATGTTCGGCAACTGATGTATCAGTGCACTAGATCCGATGCTTTCACAAGTCAGTAATGGCTTCTTTACATCCTGGCCAAACTTAAAGTGACAAAATACTCGTCGCTTCCAGTTTATTAGATCATAGAGATGGATCAGGGATTTCGGCTTTCAGTCATCTCTACAGTCAGCTGGCAGAGCAGGAGACCCCAGGAAGGTAGGTGGGGACCATATGATGATTGGTCATAGTGATCACATGATGAACAGCCGCGTACTGTGCACTGTGATCCGCTGTGTCCACTGGGCTGTGCCTGCTCATGTCGCCGATCAGCAGTAAATGTACTACTTCTGGATGGCAAGTGGTTAAAGAGCGTTCCAGATGCGGGTTGCAGGAAAGAAAATTCCTCAATTCCACTGTCAACAGTCACTGTTGCTGTAGGAGGGTTTCCCCCATCACAATAGTAAGCAAGCGGTCATGAAATAAAAGCCATTCGTGCCAGTTCAAAACAAAAAGCATCGCTAATTAGTAAGACCCCATTCACACTTGTGTTTTTGAGCATGGAGCTGAAAACCGCTCGACAAGTAAGATCCCATTATTTCCAATGGCCCCTGTTCACACTTGAGCGTTCGGTCACCTGTAGCAAAACACCTGTCACTCAAAAAAGTACCTGTGCTACTTCTCAGGCAGATCTAAGCATTGTGAAACCCAAACCTGAAAAACGCATATAATTGAAAATCTGCTAAAAAAAACAAAACAAATAAAAACCTGCTCAAACGCTTGATAAAACACTTGAAAATTGCTCAGTGTAGTGTGAATGGAGCCTAAGGGATACAATTCCAAATTACATAAATGTAAATAAATAATGTAAAAATAGACCACTTCTCAGAACATTAAATAAAATATTTATTTTTTAAATGTGACAAATATAAAGAATTCCCAAAGGAAACCAAAAATGCACAATGTCCTTCCTTAGAGCTCCTCCTTCCAAGAAAGAATCAAGCCACAAGGTGTGAGTGAAAGGTGAACATTCCACTCTGTGCAATATAGGTGCCTCTTACCAGATCAGGTGGACCATTAAGTTTTAAATGGTCATAATATGCTCATCACACCATAGCCAGGGGCGACTCCACCTCAGCAGACCAGTATAGTCAGTCAGTAGCCGATGTCAATGAATAAAAATAAACATTCCTCCATAGTGAAGTATGTTATTTAAAAAAAAAAAAAAATCTATTTAAAAGTGATATTCACATAAAGACAAAAAGTGTAATGGTAATAGAAAAATCTTTTATTATTATTATACAGGGTTTATATAGTGCCAACAGTTTGCTCAGCACTTTACAATATAACGGGAGACAATACAGCAACAATACAGTTCAATACAAGAGGGATAGGAGGGCCCTGCTCCTTGGAGCTTACGTAGCAGGTTGATAGCTCTGGCATGTAGCACGCCCAGTCACACTTGCAAACAGCATGGACCGATGTTGCTATATGATGTCACGAGCAAGCCACACCCAACATGTTTTGTCGGACTGACGTCTTCAGAAATAGGCTATACGGCACGTATCACGTATTCTCTTTTTAACCACCTCCCGCCTGTCATATAGTACAGTGACGGGCCAAGGTGGTTTTCTTGTTTTGGGAGGAGGTTATATGACGTCCTCCCTTTCTAACCGTGCATGCGCAGCGGCTCCAGGAGTGCACGGCGATCGGCTGTGCACTGTGTCCCTTGGACACAGAGGATCACCGATCAACGGAAAGAGCTGAAGATGTCGGCTCGGTCATGTGATCAGCTGTGTCCAATCACAGGTGATCGCATGTAAATAGGGAAATGCTGGTTATCGGCATTTCTCTCCTCACGAGCTGTCACACTGACCGCTCGAGAGGAGAGCCGGTAATCTCATCCCTCAGAGGGGACATGTACACTGATGATCAGGCACTGATGATCAGCGTGCCCTGATGATCTGTGTAGCCCCAGCAGTGCCACCTGTCAGTGTCCATCAGTGCCAGCTTTCAGTGTTCATCAATGTCACATTTCAGTGCCTACCAGTGCACATCAAGGTCACCTATCAGTGCACATCTGAACTGCCTATCAGTGCCGCCTGTCAGTGCCACCTATCAGTGCCATATGAGTGCTGCCTTTCAGTGCCACCTACCAGTGCCTCCTCATCAGTGCCCATCAGTGCAGCCTATCAGTGCCCATCACTGCAGCCTCATTAGCGCACATCAGTGAGGAGAAAAATCACTTATTTGCAAAATATTATAACAAAAACTAAAACTTTTTTTTTTTTTTCAAAATTTTCAGTGGTTTTTGGTTTAAGAAAAAATAAACCCAGAGGTGATTAAATACCACCAAAATAAAGCTTTGTCACATAAAAATGATAAAAATTTCATATGGGTACAGTGTTGTATGACCGCGCAATTGTCAGGCAAAGTGCAGCAGCGCTGAAAGCTGGAAATTGGCCTGGGCAGGAAGGGGGTATACCCAGTGGTGTATTTTGGTTTTGTGCTGCCCTAGGCAAGACTAAAATTGCCCCCCCCCCCCCCATCTAAATTTTTCCCACCCTTTCATCTGCAAACTCCACCCCTTCTTTAGGCTCCACCCCTTTCTATTAGAGCTCTGCCCACTGACACCGATGGGGCGCTATTCCTCCCACTGACACCGATGGGGCGCTATTCCTCCCACTGACACCGATGGGGCGCTATTCCTCCCACTGACACCGATGGGGCGCTATTCCTCCCACTGACACCGATGGGGCGCTATTCCTCCCACTGACACCGATGGGGCGCTATTCCTCCCACTGACACCGATGGGGCGCTATTCCTCCCACTGACACCGATGGGGCGCTATTCCTCCCACTGACACCGATGGGGCGCTATTCCTCCCCCGGACACCAGTGATGGGGCGGTACGATTCCTCCCCCGGACACCAGTGATGGGGCGGTACGATTCCTCCCCCGGACACCAGTGATGGGGCGGTACGATTCCTCCCCCGGACACCAGTGATGGGGCGGTACGATTCCTCCCCCGGACACCAGTGATGGGGCGGTACGATTCCTCCCCCGGACACCAGTGATGGGGCGGTACTATTCCTCCCCCGGACACCAGTGATGGGGCGGTACGATTCCTCCCCCGGACACCAGTGATGGGGCGGTACGATTCCTCCCCCGGACACCAGTGATGGGGCGGTACGATTCCTCCCCCGGACACCAGTGATGGGGCGGTACTATTCCTCCCCCGGACACCAGTGATGGGGCGGTACGATTCCTCCCCCGGACACCAGTGATGGGGCGGTACGATTCCTCCCCCGGACACCAGTGATGGGGCACTATTCCTCCCCCGGACAGTGGAATAGTGCCCCCTCATTGGTGTCAGTGGGAGGTAAAGTGCCCCCTCATTGGTGTCAGTGACACCAATGAAGGGGCACTATTCCTCCCACACTGACACTAATGATGGGGCACTAGTACTCCCACTGACACCAATTATATTTACATCGCCGTGCCGCCCCCCTGAAAGTGCTGCCCTAGGCAAATGCCTTGTTTGTCTCGTGGTAAATGCGCCCTCTGGCACAAATGCGAGGCAGTGGGACAGGAGGAGCGCAGTGGGACAAGTGAGGGGCAGTGGGACAGGAGGAGCGCAGACAGGGACAGGTAGGGGCAGGGGTAGCGTGACAGGGGGCATGGGACAGTATCTGGGCAGCTGGACAGGAGGAGCGCAGAGGGACAGGTGGGGGGCATGGGACAGGATCGGGGCAACGGGACAGGAGAAGCACAGAGGGATAGGTGGGGGGCAGCGAGACGGGGCATGGGACAGGATCGGGGCAGCTGGACAGGTGGGGGGCATGGGACAGGATCGGGGCAGAGGGATATGTGGGGGGCAGCGTGTCAGGGGGCATGGGACAGGATCGGGCAGCAGGACAGGTGGGGGGCAGATGGACAGGAGGAGCGCAGAGGGACAGGTGGGGGGCAGTGGGGACAGATGGATGGTAGGGGGACAGGAGGGGGAAGTGGAACAGGTGTGGGGCAGGGTGACATGTGGGGGCAGTGTGATGGATGGGGGGCAATGGAATGGGGAGGGAAGAACAGGTGGGGGGGCAGTGTATCAGGGGACAGTGAGACAAGACCGAGGGAGCACCAGTCCTCCAAGCACTTACCTGTCCAGCAGCGGCTCCTCCAGATGGTGTCAGGATCGTTCCTGTGCCTGTGTCCCTTCTCCCCCACGATTCCGGAGGCGGCTGCAAAGGTGCGGGCCGGCTCCGCCCCCCTAACCTCGTCCTCTTCTGCTTCCTCTGGCCTTCCTGCAGATCCCGGATCTTCATGGGGGGACTCATCTTGCCGCTACACCGTCCGTGGGAAAGGGGGGGCGGCACTGCCGCCGTGCCGCCCCCCTGAAAAGTGCCGCCCTAGGCAAATGTCTAGTTTGCCTCGCAGCAAATACGCCCCTGGGTATACCTGCCCTGTAGGCTAGTGGTTAAATAGCTTTTGCCTGCTCTCCATTAAGTTAAAACAAATCTCTCCACTAAGGAAAGCTCCATCTTGTGGTAAAAAAAATATTGCCTTTTGAGAGCCGCTTAAAAAGTCTCTCAAATAAATAATGATATAATACTAATAATCAACCTGCCAATTACAACCATTACATACTCACAAATCATACCATTACTAAACCATATAATAATATAAATAATGGCCATTCTTTCAAAAGTAGATCAGAAACCACCAATAATTTTCATACTAATTTTTAAAAAAGACATATACCCATTTTGATAATCTTAAGTATCTAAAATGGATAAAAAATAAATAGACCCCAAAACCATCACCTTAATATTTCAAGACTAAAAATTCCATCACATGAGGCTTTTATTAATGAAACAATGTCCCAATCGACAGTCAACTCAAATGGGACATAAGATTTCAAATTTTATATCCATCTAGTCTCCAGACATGAAACTTTCCTCCTCACATGACTTCCCCTCTAATGTGAAAAGCTGTCAATCCCCATGAATAACGTGCCAGTTGGATCTTTCCCACAGCACTTATCATAATTTTTAGGAACACTGTGTCCCAAAAATTCTGTCCTGATGTTACTTTATATGCTCCTTTAATCTAGTTTGTAGTTTCCTTCTAGTTCTACCAACATATTGCTGGCCACATGGCATATCAATACATATACTATATTTTTAGTGTTGCAGGTTTTAAATGTTTCAATTATAGGTCTTGGGTGTTTGGTTAGAGGTGAAATTAAGTCTTTCTAGCTTTCAATTTATTAAATTTACAGACATGGAAAATAACCTTTTAAATCATGAAAAAATCGGGGAAATTATAACATTTGGGGCCACCATATTCCTTAGAGAATGAGCTTCTCTAAATACTACATCTGGTCTGTCTGGGATAAGTGGGCCCAAATTAGAATCACTTTTTAAAACCGGTCAATAATTTTCAATAATGTGTTTTATGGCCCAATGTTGGCCCAATTAAATGACTTCTGGCTAGAATCCATATTTTTTTTTCTCAATAATAGCTCTCTATCTTTCTTTCCAATCTCTTGAATAGTTCTATTTAATACAACTTTATTATATTCCTTATGAATAAATCTTTCCCTCAGTAGTTCAGACTAAAGGTAATAGTCAATAACATTAGTACAGTTGTGTTTCTAATACGCAACAGTTGCCTTTTTGGGATAGATTTAAGCCATGAGGGGTGATGGCAGCTAGTCAGATCTAGATAAGAATTCTGATCAGCCTCTTTAAAATAGGTGACTATTTGAAGACCATGAATATTTGCCCTAATAACTAAATAAAAAAAAAATGCACCTGTTGTATACTAGCTAGTAAATAAGTGATTTTTCTCCTTCACTGATGTGCGCTAATGAGGCTGCAGTGTTGGGCACTGATAGGCTGCACTGATGGACACTGATAGATGGCACTGGTGGCACTGATGAGGAGGCACTGGTAGGTTGCACTGATGGGCATTGACAGGCATCACTGATGGGCACTGATACGCAGCTTAGGTGGGCACTGATATGTGGCATTGATGTGCATTGATGTATGCACTGATTTGTGGTATTGATGTGGCACTGATGGGCACTGGCACTGATGGGAACTGGCACTGACAGGTGGCACTGATGGGGCCACACTGATCATCAGGGCACACTGATCATAATCAATGCCCTGATGATCAGTGTACATGTCCCCTCCGCGGAAAGCCGATTACCGGCTCTCCTCTCGAGCTGTCAGCGTGACAGCTCGAGAGGAGAGAAATGCCGATAACTGGCATTTCCGTGTTTACATGTGATCAGCTGTGATTGGACACAGCTGATCACATGACCGAGCTGACATCTTCGTCTCTTTCCGTGATCCGCTGTGTCCGAGGGACACAGCGGACCGGCAATCGCCGCGCTGCGCGCTCCCTGAGCCGCGCATGCGCAGTGAGAATGGTAGGATGTCATATGATGTCCTATCAGAACGAGAGAACCACCTTGCGCCCGTCATTGTACTATAGGGCGGGCCGAAGGTGGTTAATAAGAGGAGGTCTTAGGAACAAAAGGTTGCAAAAATTCTATATATTTCCCTGTTCAAGAGGTGATCGAATCTTTGCCACTAATTATAGGGCGTCCAGGTGGATTGGCTAAATTTTTTAAATGGATTTTTTGGTAAATAATACATCACTGGTACTCGTGGTGTGTTAGGAATGAAAAAACACTTTAATGCAGTGCCTTGAAAAAATATTCATACTCCTTGAAAATGTCCACATTTTGTCATGTTACAACCAAAGACGTTATGTATTTGTTGGGATTTTATGTGATAGACCAACACAAAGTGGCACATAATTGTGAAATGGAAGGAAAATGATAAATGGTTTTCAGAAATGTTTACAAATATCTGAAGTGTGTAGCGTGCATTTGTATTCATCCCCCTTTACTGTGATACCCCTAACTAAAATCTAGGGAAACCAATTGTCTTCAGAAGTCGCCTAATTGGTAAATAGAATCCACTTGTGTGTAACAATCTCAGAATAAAATACAGCTGTTCTGCTAAGCCCTCAGAGGTCTGTTAGAGAACATTAGTGAAGATAAAAATCTGCTGCCATCTACCGGGATGATAAAACAAGGCTAGACATCCCAAACACAAGCCAAGGGAACTCTGGTAGTAGGAAAGAAAATAAAGCTGTTAGAATGACCCAGCCAATCACCTGACTTGAATCCAATAGGAAATCTATGGAAAGAACTAAAGATCAGAGTTCATAGAAGAGGCCCACGGAACCTTCAAGATTTGAAGACTGTTTTTGTGCAAGACTGGACCAAAATCACACCTAAGCAATGCATGTGACTAGTTTCTCCATACAGGAGGCGTCTTGAAGCTGTCATTACCAACAAAGGATTTTGTACGAAATATTACATTTAAGGTAGCGTGTTCAATACTTTTTCCCTGTGTCATTCCATTTTATTAAACAACTAAATTTATGAACATATTTGTTTTGGTTTCTTTCTATGCATGGATTACATGGGTTGTTATGAACATGTGGTGAAAATTTCATGTCAGTAGCACCTTTAGAAATATATTTACTGACCAAAATGGTGACATGTTCAATATTTATTTTACCTGCTGTATTTCTGAAGGCCTCAAATGTATTCAACCGATTAGGGGGGCATGCTTTAATCCCTTACTCAAAACCTTTTGTTCATCTCTGGACAGTTCCACTCCAGTAAGATGAAAAATACCTAAAGTACCTATGCTTTCCTAATTTTTTTTTTTTCCTTCTCCTTCCTCCATGGAACCCTCTTTTGTTTTATTTTACCTTTTTAAACTTTGAGGGCCTGTTTAAAAAACAAAAACAAGGTCGTCCACTAGATCTTGTCATGTTGGGTGAATCGCGATATTCAGCAGCTCCCCCCCCCCCCCATATGACTAGTTGGAGTATAAAGAGGATGCTGGGTAATTTTTCTTTCTCATAAGGATCTTGCTAGTCATCTTCTAATGGTTGATACTTATTATAAGTGGGAGATGATTGGTATATCCATACGATCTCCCTTGATTACCTCAATTATTCCTAAGCCCCTTAAAAGTAATGTATTGTGCCTCAGAATTGTTCCTCCATCTTGATGAATTATAGCCATAATTCCTAGGTATATCCGAGGTTGACTGCATATTCGGAGGATTCTTAAATCGTCTCCCAGAAGGATTTCTATAGTAACACCCATGGCTTCTGTCATGAGAACCGAGAGCGCAGGGAGAGAGCACACGGAGACAGATTGCATGGAACCCGACATGCGGGCGTTTATTGGGGTACAGACAATAGATCCGTTAGTCTACCGATCCATACCAGACACAGCAACTTAGTAAAGTTCTTTGGAAGGCAAATATGGAACAACAGGGGGCTGGTAGTCCACAGGGTTCATTAAAACAGGGTTGTGGCGGTTTCGTGGGACTTCGGGTTCCTGGGGAGAATTGGGCTCAGTCTTTTGGGCAGCACGGAGTTAGTCCACTTACTGGATGCGGGGAGCTGGACACGGAGGATTGCAGTCCACACAGGCAACACGGCAGAGGGCAGTACAGGCGGGCAATGGGTAAGTCCGGGCACACAGCAGAGGGCAGTCCACAGGGTAGCAATCCAGGGACTCACCAGCAGCAGAGAGTTAACCCCACACGGGAGAGATCCAGCAGCAGACGGGCAGTCAGGTCAGTCGGGGAGAGCCGGGGGATGGTAGTCTTGAGAAGCTGGCCGCAGCCCAGTCCTCTCTTACACAGCACACAGGAGAACACCCGGCTGGTTGCCCTGCTCTGCCTTAAGTACAGAGAGGGGCGCATTGCTGTTGCCGTGGTAACGGGCCTCGTCCCCAGCATCTCGGGACCTGGCCAGGGAACACGGCCTTTGTCCCTGTCGTGCACGGAGCCTGGGAACATGCAGGAGGGGACAGGGAGGAGGGTGACAGGAGGAGGCCTGTTTGTGGATTCCCACAGAAAGGGGGCAACTTTCTGGCATCCAGCCAGGGAAGCAGGATACTCTCTCAGAAAGGGGCCAGACTGCCAGCGACAGGGGTGAGGGGCTGCCTGTGTCAGGGACACGGAGGACTAGAAGTCCCAGCATGGACGGGACAGAAGAGTGAGGGGCTGGTGGGGGGTGGCGGGCAGCAAGCCTAGAGGATGTGGGGGGGGGGGAGAACCAGCTCTGTGACAACCCCTCCCCCCTCCATTCTACAAGTGCCACCAGGGGGATCTCAACAGGTTCCCGTAGAGGCACTTATGGCCTGCATTTACTGGGGGTCTTGCTGACGGGACAGCCCATCTGCATTGTGGTGCTGGCTTCCCCATCGTTATTGGATGGTGAAATTGCATGGTTGTAAGGCCAGGCTCCATCGTAAGAGGCGGCCATTATCTCCGGAGACCTGATTCAGCCAGGTGAGGGGGGTTATGGTACGTGAGGATGGTGAGCTCCCAGCCATACAAATAGGGATGAAGTTTCTTCAACGCCCACACTATGGCCAGGCACTCCTTATCTATAAATAAACTTATGTATAAAAATCGAGCGCAGTGCATAAGATATGGTAGCTGCTGGCAACAAAAAAGGCACCTCGGGAACCTCCACAGTAAATGTTAAAAGAATAGAAGTGCAGCGCTACATGAATGGTGACTTTATATATAAAATTATGATAAACACGACTAAATGTCGATGGATTAATAAAATGCCGGCGAGAGTTCATCAAAAGTGCTTAGTGTCTGATATGCCAAAGACATAAGTAGTGACTTTCCGTGGTGATAAGAATAGTCAAATCATGCACTAACCAGATAGCACATAGATAGCACATGGGGCATTTAAGACCTGCCCCTGGTACTCTGCCACTGTGTCACTGGAGCAGAGAGGTGTCATCTGTAGGGCCACCACTAGATGTCATCTGTCCATGCAGAAGATGTATCCAGCCACTGAAGTAGGTGTCATCTATAGGGCGACCACTAGAGGTCATCTGTCCATGGGGGAGATGTCTCATAGATCCAGAGATGTCACTTGCAGATGTTATCTTACTGTGCACGGCCCTCAGCTACAGGACCTTCAAAGTTACAGGCACCCCAGAAATAAAGAGCCCGTGGAAAAGAGGCCTCAAATAGTGTGATAACATTTTAATAAAGTATAAGCAATCAGAAATGAACTTACAGTATTGGTATAGCTGCTCATGAATGGCTAAACCAGAGGTACATGTACAAGAGAGATTGGCACTTCCCTAACGCGTATCGTGTAAAAACACATCATCAGAGGGGATGTGCCAATGCTAGGTGAGGTGTTTAAATACTGAAAAAAGCGGCAAATGTGCACCGCAATGCGGCAGCGCCGTTATTACGGTTCGCGCATGCGCATTGGCGATCTTGGCGGCCACCTGACCGCCAATGCGCATGCGCGAACCGTAATAACGGTGCTGCCGCATTGCGGTGCACATTTGGCGCTTTTTTCAGTATTTAAACACCTCACCTAGCATTGGCACATCCCCTCTGATGATGTGTTTTTACACGATACGCGTTAGGAAGTGCCAATCTCTTGTACATGTACCTCTGGTTTAGCCATTCATGAGCAGCTATACCAATACTGTAAGTTCATTTCTGATTGCTTATACTTTATTAAAACGTTATCACACTATTTGAGGCCTCTTTTCCACGGGCTCTTTATTTCTGGGGAGCCTGTAACTTTGAAGGTCCTGTAGCTGAGGGCTGTGCACAGTAAGATAAAATCTGCAAGTGACATCTCTGGATCTATGAGACATCTCCCCCATGGACAGATGACCTCTAGTGGTCGCCCTATAGATGACACCTACTTCAGTGGCTGGATACATCTTCTGCATGGACAGATGACATCTAGTGGTGGCCCTACAGATGACACCTCTCTGCTCCAGTGACACAGTGGCAGAGTACCAGGGGCAGGTCTTAAATGCCCCATGTGCTATCTATGTGCTATCTGGTTAGTGCATGATTTGACTATTCTTATCACCACGGAAAGTCACTACTTAGGTCTTTGGCATATCAGACACTAAGCAATTTTGATGAACTCTCGCCGGCATTTTATTAATCCATCGACATTGTCATTTGTGTTTATCATAATTTTATATATAAAGTCACCCTTCATGTAGCGCTGCACTTCTATTCTTTTAACACTCCTTCTCTATGGTGGCATAGGACACCTCACAGTCTACTAGTTTCCTGCTAAGGAAGGCCACAGGGTGCTCCTCTCCATCCTCATTTACCTGGCTGAGGACGGCCCCCAGCCCATAAGTGGAGGCGTCCTTCTGCACAAGGAACCTTGCTGGTAGTAGGGTGCTGCTAGGACGGGGTCATG